CGCAAGGCAGTTGGAATTTTCAGTTAGGGATGAAGCCTGCTGAGGGTGGGGTCTGAGGAGGAGGAGGAAGAGGGGGACCTCAGACAAATACAATGCCATACTGCCCACACTCCAGACAAGCTGTTGCCAGTCTCCAGGTGACAGCTGGAGAGATCTTACAGCTTTGGTGCTAATTCAAAGTGTTGCAATTTATTGACAGAGTAGTGTTTTGGAAAATCTTTAGGAATTGTTTGGTGCATTTACGATGGGGCTCCTGGGGAACTATTGTTGCCAATCTTGGCCCAGCAGCCATCAAACCATTCTCTTCAACCCCCTGCTGTGCAGCTGACTTTCCCCTAGGGTTGCCAATCTCCAGGTGGGACCTGGAGATCTCCCACTGCTACAAATGATCTCCAGATGACAGAGATCAGTTCCCCTAGAGAAAATGACTGCTTTAGGAGGGTAGACCCTATGACATTATACCTGCTGAGTCCTTCCGCCCCCCCCCCCGCCCAACGCTGCCCTCTACAGAATCCACCCCCCAAACCTCCAGGTATTTCCCTCCTTAGAGCTGGCAACCCTACATTCCCCTCAGTGCCTGTTGGGAGTGGGTGGGGGGGGAGGGGAAGGGAGTGGGCGACCGGAGGCTTCTTATAAGGCATATTGCAAGGAAAAAAAATGAAATGCAGTAAATGAAGCCAAACCTTCTTTGATATGGGGTAGCAGCAATGTTATTGATGCCCAAATTCCTGTGAGTTTGGTTTGTGTTCTGATCTCCAGTTGTGATTATGTATCCAGTTTATTGATGATCAGATTGATTATTTGCTAGCCCGCTTGTGGCTGTTCACTTGGTGGCCGCACACCTAACATAACAGCATGCACAGTCCACTTTCATGCATTGTTTGTTGCCTCATTAATTTGATGGAGCTCTCATTGATGCCTCACAAGCTTATGTCTTTGCTAAGCAAACTAACCACAGATTTACATCTATCACAAGGTATAATATGCTGGAAAATGAATTTGATTTAAAGGGAATACTTTTCTTTGTTCTTGTTGATTTTATAAAATCATAGAGTTGGAAAGGATCTCCAGGGTCATCTAGTCCAACCTCCTGCATAATGCAGGAACTTCACAACTACCTCCCCTCCACACCCCCAGTGACCCCTGCTCCATGCCCAGAAGATGGCAAAACAAACAAACAGAGTCCCTCCAGGGACTCCCTCCTTCCAAACTGGCCTGGAAAAATTTTCTTCCTGACCCTAAAGTGGCGATCAGCATTTCCCTGGACTTGTAAGAAAGGGCCATGAGAACTAAGCATTGATGCAACCCTTCCTGCCCTCCCTTCTCGTGATCTGCCTAAATTCACAGAATCAGCATTGCTGTCAGATGGCCATCTAGCCTGTTTAAAAACCTCCAAAGACGGAGAGCCCACCACCTCCCAAGGAAGCCTGTGCCACTGAGGAACCACTCTAACTGTCAGGAAGTTCTTCCTAATGTTTAGCTGAAAACTCTTTTGATTTAATCTCAACCCGTTGGTCCTGGTCTGACCTTCTGGGGCAACAGAAAACACCTCCACACCATCCTTTATATGACAGCTCTTCAAATACTTGAAGATGGTTATCATATTTCCTCTTACTTGTCTCCTCTCCAATCTAAACATCCCCAGCTCCTTCAACCTTTCCTCATAGGACTTGTTCTCGAGACCCCTCACCATCTTTGTTGCCCTCCTCTGGACTCATTCCAGCTTGTTTATATCCTACTTAAATTGTGGTGCCCAAAACTGAACACAGTACTCTAGGTGAGGTCTAACCAGAGAAGAGTAAAGCAATACTATAACTTTGCATGATCTGGACACTCTACTTCTGTTGATACAGCCGAAAATGGCATTTGCTTTTTTAGCTACTGCATCACACTGATGACTCATGTTTAGTGTATGGTCTACTAAGACCCCTAGATCTTTTTCGCACATACTACTGCCAAGACAAGTCTCCCCCATCCTATAATTATATGTATTTGATATTTCCTACCTCAATGCAGATCTTCCCATTTATCCCCATTGAAAATCATGTTATTTGTTTTAGCCCGGTTTTTCAGCCTGTCAAGATTATCCTGTATCCTGACTTTGTCTTCTACTATATTTGTTACCCCTCTCAATTTAGTGTCATCTGCACATTTAATAAGCATCCCCAATTTTCCTTCATGGGGTGCCAACTGCCAGCACTCGATGGCATGCTGCTAACACTGACTTCAATCATCAAGAGTCCAGGTGTGCTCCTGGACTTCTCTTTATCAGTTGAGGTCCCAGTTGCAAATGTTGCCAGGCTGACGTTCTTCAAAATTCACCAGTTCAGGCAGCTAGCCCCCTTTCTCCTTAGCTCTGACTTTGCCACAGTGATCCATGCAACAGTCATCTCAAGGCTGGATTACAGTAACTCACTC